AACAATATAACCAGGGAAAGAGGAACTATAAAGATTAATCAACCTGGTTTCGGGGAACTGAATAATAATATAACCAGGGAAAGAGGAACTATAAAGATAAATAAACCTGGTTTCGGGGAACTGAATAATAATATAACCAGGGAAAGAGGAACTATGAAGATTAATAAACCTGGTTTCGGGGTTCTGAATAGGAATATGACCAGGGAAAAGGGAAACTAAAAATTCTAATAAACCTGGTTTCGGGGAACGGACGCACTATAATTTCTGTAGTAGGAAATATTTCCATTTACTGATAGCGCCGATTAAAGGATTCATAACTCTGATTGGATAATACGATAGATTGAAAGATAGATGTTACCGCCATACTATTTCTATTGGTTCAGAATAGACTACAAACACATAACTGAACCCTGATTGTATCAGGTGCTAATGGACTTGGCATACAGGAGTAGATGAACAATATTATCCTGAAAAAAGGGATCTAACAAGTTAAAAGAAACAGGTTTAACCCGAATATTCAGATGGAAAATATATAAAATGGAGAATTTAGAAATTAAAGAGTTAAATTTGTACACGGAGTCGTTCTACATACAATCACCACATTTCATGTTTGCCAGTTTCCTAGGTTTCTCTAGGCTTCAGTTGATCACGATTCTCAGATAATCTTGATTAGAACTCAGCCCTGCCCCGATATATCACACTATCATCTGTACCATGCTTCAACAGATTCAATATTCAATATTCAATATAGCTTCATAGATTCAATACTCAATATAGCTCCATAGACTCAATATTCAATATAGCTTCATAGATTCAATACTTAATATAGGTTCATAGATTCAATATTCAATATAGCTTCATAGATTCAATACTCAATATAGCTTCATAGATTCAATATTCAATATAGGTTCATAGATTCAATGCTCAATATAGGTTCATAGAGTCAATACTAAATATAGCTTCATAGATTCAATATTCTATATTTGCAGCTACATAGATTCAATACTCAATATAGTTTTATATATTCAATACTCAATATAGCTACATATATATTCAATATTCAAAATAGCTTCATAGATTCAATATTCAATTTAGCTTCATAGATTCAATTCTGAATATAGCTTCATATATTCAATATTCAACATAGCTTTATAATTTTAATGCCCGATATCGCTTCATTAATTTAATACTGAAGATTTCATATATTATATATTTATATATAACGTAGATTAAGCTCTGTTTATTTTGATGTCCGTTCATATTTCAGAAGCCCCTTAACAGATTTGCCTCAAATTTTGATTGAGGAACTCGGTTTAACCACGGGTACGTTCAGAGCTTGTTTTAAAAGCTTATGGGGTTGAATTTTATAGAAAACCTCAGTATCCAGGCAAAGCTGGGTTCCCAAATAGTATTAAATACATATCTGATAAGAATGGAGGAAGCTTTTAACAAAAATTTCAGAAAAAAGTAATGAAAAAAAGCAAGAAAAATAAGATATTTTGTAAAATATCAGGTTGAACCTAGGCATTAAATGACATTTCTTAGCTTGTATTTTATCGACACGGCATTATTCTTTGAACCATATTAATAGCATCATACATCCAGAAATGAACCATGTTAATTGAACTCTTGGTTTTCAAAAAATCATAGAGCTTTAAAAAATTTTGACTGAAACTTAATTTGATTTTAATTTGAAATTGATAAGATGTTTAATATTTCTGTAAATTTTACAGACATAACAAAAGCTCCATAACTTTTCCAAAAATGATAAAAAAAAAGTTTTGCTTGCTTTATTTCCGCGTTTATTGAAATTTGCTGTCGGAGAGAAATCAGTATTTAGGCCTAGGCTGGAAGAGAACTAATAGCTATCTACAAGTGGTGTGAAGCTATAAGTATCTAGGTCCTAGGTATCGCAGAGCGTGAAAAATCTTTTAATCTAATTTTACAGAGTTTGGATTAGTTCTGTGGTATCTGGTATACACGACTATATGTATTATATACAAAAGATACTTAGATACTTGGATCCTAGAATATCTAGATACTTGGATACTAGAATATCTAGATACTTTGATACTAGAATACTTAGATACTTGGATACTAGAATACTTAGATACTTGGATCCTAGAATACCTAGAAACTTGGACACTAATATACTTAGACACTTGGATACTTATTTACTTTGATACTTTGATACTTGGATACTTGGATACTAGAATACCTAGATACATGGATACTATAATAATTGGATACTAGAATGCCTAGATACTTGGATACTAGAATACTTAGATACTTAGATACTTAGATACTTGGGTACTTGAATGCTAAAATACTTAGTTGCTTGGATACTAGAATACTTGGATACTTGGATACTAATATACATAGATACTTGGATACTTGAATACTAGAATACCTAGATACTTGGATACCAGAATACTTGGATACTAGAATACTTAGATACTTAGAATACTTAGATACTTAGATACTTAGATACTTAGATATTAAGATACTTAGATACATGGATATTTAGATACTTGGATACTTGGATACTTGGGTACTTGATGACTTGAATACTAGAATACTTTGATACTTAGATACTAGAATACCTAGATACTTGGATACTAGAATACTTAGATGCTGGGATACTAGAATACTTAGATACTTGGATATTGAATTCTTGGATACTTGGATAGTTAGATACTTAGATACTTGGATACTTGGATAATAGAACTTGGATACTAGAATACTTAGATACTTGGATACTAGAATACTTAGATACTTGGATACTAGGATACCTAGATACTTGGATACTAGAATTCTTATCTTACTAGTATACTAGGGATATTAGAATAAATGAATCTAAAGGGTGTAGGTTCCCACCTACCATTATTTCTTCTCAAATTATGTAAATCAACGAATATTAAGCTGAACATTTTCTGATCATAAAAATACAAATAAGGAAAAATCGTTTGCATTGACAAAATAAAAACTGGCTTAAAAATATGACAAAAACGTATCAAAAACGTTTTTAAAGCCGAATACAGATTGCCAGGTTGTAAAATCATTGTCAAGAATCTTTAATAAAGTATAAATTCGTCAAAAGAATATGTATGAAGTCAGGGCACTATTTGTCTAAGAATTTGGAAGGGAGTGGAAGGAATCTTAATTAAGATATTTCCAGGTCCAATCCAAGAATAAGTATGAATTCAGGGCTCTATTTGGCTAAGAATTTGGAAGGGAGTGGAAGGAATCTTAATTAAGATATTTCCAGGTCCAATCCAAGAATAAGTATGAATTCAGGGCTCTATTTGGCTAAGAATTTGGAAGGGAGTGGAAGGAATCTTATTTAAGATATTTCCAGGTCCAATCCAAGAATAAATATGAAGTCAGGGCACTATTTGTCTAAGAATTTGGAAGGGAGTGGAAGGAATCTTATTTAAGATATTTCTAGACCCAATCCAAGAATAAGTAGGAAGTCAGGGCGCTATTTGTCTAAGAATTTGGAAGTGAGTGGAAGGAATCTTATTTAAGGTCCAATCCAAGGAAAAATCTAAACAAATCAAGAAATATTCCTCTCATGTTCAGGTGTTCAATTAAGTGATAAAGATATTTAAAGGAAGCAAGGAAAAAATCGTTATCATAAATATGAAACTAAAAAGCTTTTAGATGTTCACAGTGAAAATAGGGTGATAAGCTCTGCTAAATATCTTCAAATGTATGGATCAGCTGTATAGTTTCTTAGTGACTGAAACCTCTGTATCAAGCAAATTGAATAGCTGATGTTATAAAAAAAAGCAAACTAGATTAAGGTAACAGTATAATCCATGTCCTGCCAACCCTGAACAGGAACATCATAAAAAGAAGATGTAGATGGATACAAATAAGAGTTTAGAATGTTGATATGAGTCTATGTGTCTACTGTCCAGCTAGCTGGCAGCTGAAATTTTAAACGCCGGGTCTCAGATGTCTAAAAACAACTACTTAATCATTTCCAAATCCTTTTTTTTGCATATACTAGTTTCATTAGAGCTCTAGAATTCAAAATGTAATTGGGAACCTTTTTTATGTACACCCTTTAGGATACAAGGACACTGGTACACAACATATAGGATACAAGAATACTAAGAATACAGGTATCTAATAGCATATTAAGATACTTGGATACTAGTAAAGGAGTTTTTGCCACAAACTCAGATTTTTTAATCCTTATATCTCCGCAACCCGTTCTTGTAGACCTTTGACATTTCAAACATAGAATTCTGACAGATCACATATTCTAAGTTTGAAATATAAAAGGTTTACCGCATCAGGTTGCAAAGATAAAGTAATTAGAAAATTGGAGTTTGTGGCAAATACTCAACTCCTTTGTAGAATACTAGAAAACCAGAGATACTAAGATACTATGTAGGATAATGAAGATTTTAAAGGATTCGATATTAAGATATTAAGATATTAAGGTATTAAGATATTAAGATATTAAGATATTAAGATATTAAGATATTAAGATATTAAGGTATTAAGATATTAAGGTATTAAGATATTAAGATATTAAGATATTAAGATATTAAGATATTAAGATATTAAGATATTAAGGTATATATATATATATAGATTAAGGTATAGAATACTGATATGCTTATAAGATACTCAGAAACAAATTAAAATCTTCCTTAAATGAGCTCTTTAGGTTTGTTGAACATAAGACGGTGTGTTTTTCCAATATTTTTGTATGTGTATAACATGCAAATCATATATTCTGTTTTCACTTTTTAAAAATTTCCTAAAAAATAGCTCAACACCATTTAAGAAACTAATTACTCGCCTCAAACACTAACTTTAATCTTTGCAACCTGATTTCGTAGAACCTTGATGTTTCAAACTATGAATTCTGCTTGATCAAATAATCAAACTTTGCTAAGAAAATGTAACTAGAAAATTACAGTTTGAGAATAGTGATCGTTCCATTGGTTTTGGAATTATCCATGAGAACTTAAAAAAGCACATTTTTTATCTATATGTATTGTATAAATAGATGTCTTTGTGCGAATAATCAAAACTTTTATAAGATAAATACTAGATTTACAAGAACATCTGCTACATTTGACTAGTTGCAACGTATGTATCGAACTGAAGACTGTTCCGTCCTAGCTCCGAACCTCTGTAGGTTGAGGCTCCGGAGATGTCAGTCTCTTCATCTCCGAAGTCGGAGTCGAATCCAGAGTTTGCTATACCCTGAATAATAATCATACTTTAATCAAATCTTTCTTTACTTTCATATTTCTATGCACTAAAAAATAAGTCTAAATATCTATGTATGAAAAATTTGTCTTGTCTATTTATTTGTTTGTTTGGATCCAATGAACCTGAAAACGACTGAACCTAACTTTTGGCATCCCAGGGATGAGTGGTTTTTTGCCAATCAAAGGAATTGAGTCTTTGGAATAAAATCAAACATTTAAACCTCAATATCTTTAGAGCCCGATGTTGTAAACCTTTGATATTTCAAACTCATATTATTTGATCTAACAGAATTCATAGTTTGAAATATCTAAGGTCTACAACATTTAGTTCCAAAGATATAGGGATTAGAAAATCAGAGCTTGTTGCAAAGACTCATTTCCTTTGTTCGTTTTCGTTTTGACTTTTTTGAATCTTGAAAATTGTCGCGAAATTGTCTTTTTATAGTGTTATTGTTTTATAATGCACATTAAATATGGTTGCGATAAAACACTTAAATTTTAATTCAACAGATAGACACGTAGCTCCCTGTAACACTGTTTTAATACCTGACTAGACATTGATTTTCTGGCAAAATGGACAGTACTCCTTCTTCTCTCCATAGTTACAAAGGAATCCCTTCTCTTCTTCAGAGCTGCCAGGGTATCACGTCTCATCTTCATCTTAGAAGCAATTCCATCCAATTCTAGAATTTGAACGCGTTTAAGTCTAAGGTTCAACAGATCATGATTGGTTAGATACCTGCTGTTGAGTTCAACCTGTTTCTGAACTGTCTTTCCAAATTTATCTCTTCTCCCTCTCCTCCTTGCATCTTACTAAACACAAATTAAATCCATGAAATGTTCCATTTTTGCATTTTTGATTGAAAAATTGAAAACTTAAAAAAGGTTATATACTTGTGGTAACTAGACAGCTGATGCACAGTATTTCTTCGGTTTACATTCAGCATTTCCTGAAAAATAGAATTTTTATAAATAAATATTTTTTATTTTTCCAACCCACTTTATTGTCCCGGCTGAATTTGAGCCAGGAAAATAAAGTAAGTTTCAAATCTGAGAACATTTTATTGTCCCGGCTGTCCACTTTATTGACCCAACTGACCACCTAATTGTTGTTCTTAGATTTTAAGCAAGAATGTGGCCACATGACATAAAAAATGCCTTTGTACCTAGTCAAGGGTTAACTATGAAATTTAAAAATTTAGTTGAGATTTTTTTTACGTATCTCGTAAACCCCCTTAATCCCAATATACCCCGCCTCTCTTGACCAGGTTCATAAATAGCTTCTTTTTTAGTTTTTGTTGTTGTATATTTTACCTGATGAGCTTCTGTTTCCACCTTCTGTAATTCCCTGGCATAGTTGACTGCTTGAATATCAAGATCTCCGTCCTCCGTAAAATCTTCATCAATCTTCTCACACCAGTTCAGCTTAGTCGTGGCAATAGTGTGACATACTGAAATATTTATCAGTAAAAAGTGTCCAGAGACCTAATTTAATGAATTGAGCCGTGTCGCTGAACTACCTAATGCCGGTTCAAATTTATTGAGTTCGGTCCCAGATTTGTATTTTATTGAAGAAAGCATCTTACTGTGCCCCATTGTCAATTATATGGATTAGTTTAAAATCCTCTTTTATAAAACTGTAACCCGTTCCCTTTAAACTATATAGAAGAGAAAATATTTGAACTTACAGTTTGTCCATCGATGTAAAACCATTCCAATCAGCTGTAGAACCATTATACCAAGGAAAGCAAGAAGAAAGAATAATCCAATAGGTTCAAGGGAGAGGCTAGTGCTCATAATCGTTATCTCTGGACCTTGCTCTGCCTCAGGGTCATAAGTCACATTGTATCTCTTGTCAAAAAACCAGTCGATCGACATGATATCCTTGTTCTGTTGCATCAATGTGATTCCCAGCACCCAGATCAAGTTTGCCATGATGAAAGTAAAAATAAGTTGATCTCGATACGCCTTCAAATTCTTTACTTGTTCAGCCTTCTGTGCTTTGTTCATAGTCAGAGGAGTAAGATACTTTTTAATCAGTTCGTTCCAGAATACAATCTCAGCTCCAGGTAGGAAATCAACTGGTCCTCCTCCGAGCTCAGGTTGGTCAGGATAGAAATCTTCAACCCAATATGGATTTTTAGAATCATCTCGTTCTATCTTGTTTTCCTCAAAGTTATTCATTGCACTGGCAGTGTCCTCAGTCATCTGAGACTGGTATTCAAAGTCTTCAATATCCTCCTCAATGGCTTCAGAAACCGCTGTCATTCTTCTAGACCTGGAGAAGCTTGATCTTCGGGGCATCCCTAGTGGTTCTTGAGCATGCTCAATGTTTGAAAGACGACTGTTCACCTTCTCCAGGGAGGTTGCAATCTCTACAAGCTGCTTCTTTGGATCTAAAGGATCATCGTGAGTGAAACACATGCATTTGAACAGGTTTGCCAGGCTGAATTCTAATCCACCACTCTCTCCTCCGTTCCCATCAAGATGGAACTGAGTCAGAAGATTTGTCAGCATTCCCTCATTTTTTACATTTTTCTTAATCTCCTCGGCATTCTTCTTCTCTTCCTCCATCTGAGCTTTGGTTTTCTTCTCAGCCACCTCCCTGGTTCCCCAGGATACATCCCACAGGTTGAACAGAGAATAGATGACAAGGAGAAGGTACATGGAAGGAATAGTGATGTAATAAATAGGAAGATAGGGAAGGCAACCTATCTCGTAGGGATGCAACGCTCCAGCAAAGAAGAAGGAGGCAAAGACGGATAGAAAACTTATTGCAGTCGGAGACAGCCAAGAATCATCTTCAACGATCTATAATTGTTAAAATGAAATAAGAATAAATAACATTTTTTTTAACTGTTTACGGGGGCTTTGCGCCCCCCCCCCACACACAAAAACTATTACTTACCTGTATAAAAATTCCTATCATTACAGCCAACATGAGAAGAATGTATCCAATAGTCAGTAACTTAGCAAAGGAGAGTTGAATCTTTTGATCCAGGAAGTAGCAGGCTAACATGAACAGTATTACAGGAATACCATTGGCTATGATTGCATCCCATATATCCATCTTGAAGACTGTATTAAAGGATCCAGCCAGGATCAGGAAAATTGCTCCAGGTCCAACAAATGTACTCACCATCAACATTCCCTAGAAAAGTAAAAAAATAAAAACAAGTTTTTTAAAGGAATAAAGTCTTTATAACAAACTCAAATTTTTTAATCCCTATATCTTTGCAACTTGATGGTGTAATTCTTTGATATTTCAAACTTAGATTATTTGATCTAACCGGATTCATAGTTTAAAATATCTAAGGTCTACGACATCAGGTTGCAAAGATACTGGGATTAGAAAATCAGAGTTTGTGGCAAAAACTCAATTTCTTTAAGAATTCTTGAATACCTGGTAAATTATATACAGAGTAGAGATATCCTGATTATTCTTTACAACACTCTTGTAGCTTCCCAGGAGATCAACAATGTTCATGATAGTTGAAGGCATCCATCTTCGCCGTTGGTTAAAGAACTCCTCAAAGGTGACAGGGCAGGCTAAAAAGGTCTTAGATGAAACTAAATCTATATAATAAACCTCTTCGCTCATTTAAATGTTCACTATATCAGGCGAAACGGCTGGACCAAATTGACAAAAAAATATTTTAAGGGAACCCAGGGGTACCCCAGGGTATCATAGGCTAAACAAAATTTGGAATTTATAAAATTCCACCGGCAACGCTGGCCACTTTAGCTAAAATCATGATTTGAGACCCAGCGAGAGTAAGCGGTGTATCTATGAGTAACCTGCCTGTGCAACGCCGGGCAATAGTATAAAAAAAATTAATTTTCGAATGGTCTAACCTGTAAAAGCATCACTAGCAGCTGAATACTCTACTCTCCAACCTTTCTGAAGTAGGAGAGTGCAGAGCCATCTATCTTCTCCTTGATCAAACTGTACGTAGTGTCTGGGCTGGGTGGAGACCGTTGTGTACTTTCTCAGCACATTATCATTCATCAGAGCTTTCCCCCTGAACAATGAGAAGCATCCAGGACTACAGAGAACACAGCCAAGCACATGTTCGGTTGCTTTCTGAAGCCAATGACCAACTGCATATTCAAATATCTGGTACCAAGGTATATATCCGCTTCCTGTAGGATGAATTCGACCACAAGCAGCTCCTACAGTCTTATTCTTCTTCATCAAATCTACTAGTCGGATAACAGCTTGGGGTTGGAAATCAATATCTCCATCCAAAGCTAAGAGATAAGTGTTTTCAGCCATTGCTTCCTTTCTATCATCGTTGATAGGCAATTCCATAAGTTTATGGCCGAGAAGATAGTACATGTACATGCATTGGGACCATCTCTTCTTGTGCCGAATCTTTGCTTTGTCCTTTAAATGACAAACAATCCTTGTTTTCCCAGGTAGAGTCCAAACCAGTCTTCCTCCATAGGGTGTCGGAAACTTCTTACAAGGTTTAGTCTTCATCTTCCTTCCATGAACCATTGTTCCTGCTTTATTCATTGTTTCCACCAGAAGACGGACAAACTTGTTAACAACCTGGGCCTCCTCAGGGTTGTTTCCAACCTCCATGCAATCATCAAATAGAATATGGGTTTCCCATTCATAGTAATCCTGATCTACTACACCTAGATACTTCTGAGCACACCGACGAGCAGAGTAATCTTTATCAATACGGAACAAAGATTTTAACATTTCAATAATTTCTTCTTCACTTTCATGCCACATAGTTGCACAAGCGTAGATTTTAGTAATTGTATCAGCTTTCTTGACATTGCTATGCTTTGAATCATCTTCATTCTCTGGAAAGGTTTCATAAAATTCTTTCAACTCCTCTTTATCACCTAGTTCATACTCCTGAAGCTCTTCAATTTTCATTTCTTGATTTCCGTCCTTTCTCCTGTTCAGCATCAAGGTTTGATCAATTAATAAACCTTCATACCATGGAGTTCCGAATATCTGTTCTGTTGAAGCTAGTCTGTTGCTTCTAGGATACCAGATGTGAAATGTTGTCCACAGAAATGATAAAAACCAGATTATGAAAACCCAAGTATCTTCTTCCCAAGCATTGAAGATAAAGCCTGCTAGTTTAGGACATTCGAAGAAAAGATTATTTGGGAGAAAGGAAATAAAAACACATTTATCATCAGCTCTACCTGCACAACCGGCTAGAAGTAAGGCAATGCAGGATGGTATCACCAGAGAAATAGGAATCGCAAAGCTAAATGTTTGGATCTGAACCTTGCTTGCAAACTTAGACAATATGTAAGCTCCGAAAGCACAGAATATTTGGATCAACAAGACAAACACAGCATCCATGTTATCGTTAAGTGGAACTTGATAGAACGCTTTTTCACTTAATCCATTCTCAAAATTTGTATCAGAAATGCTTTCTTCCTCTACCTCTCTCACACTATATGTATGATTTCCAAAGTTGGTAAGAAAGTTCTTGAAGAATATATCACTGTAAACAAGGCTTTCATTCCCGTTTGTGACTGATCCATTGAAGTATGTGACTAAAACCATTGTTGCAAAAAACACAGCTATTTTCAAAGGGGCGATGATAAGGAAAGTGTAGTATCTACTCTTCTCCAACATTTCTCTCTTCATCTCCCACATCCATCTTAATCCAAAGTTTTCTCCAGCATAGGTTTCCCACCAGGAGCAGGATACTAGAACCAAAGATACTGGAATAGCCCATGAATTAGGATACTGTGATGTGCTGTTGTTAGTATATTGAAAAACAGGCCATAGAGTTGCAGCAGACAATTGAGCTAAAACCGCCAGGCCATCAAATATCCAGTATTTCCAGTGTACTGTTGTTTTACCCTCAGAACGTTGTATTCTTGTAAACATGAGAAGGATCGAGGGGATCAGAGCAATCCCGGAGCAAAGAACCATTGCTCTCAGAGCATCCATCTCAGGAAGGACAAGGAACACAAGGAGAGCTAAACCAATCACATGAAACATCTCCATGGTAAAAACAAATAGAAAGGTTTTCAATGCTGGCATTTTCTGAAATTTAAACAACCAGACTCGAAGAGAACGCGAGAATGCCCCAACGTTAGGTGCAGCAAAAGCAAAGAAAATGCACCAAATCCATCTTGAACGTTCGTAACCCAAATTTCTGTCACATTCATCTTTATCCGGCCCTGTTAGTGTATCGCAATTAAAATCTACCTCCAGATCTTTTTCTATAGCATCTGTGATAAATATGCCAGTGTTACCGTCCTCGTTGCAAAATGGTAAAGGAGTTCTCTTGGTCGCTGATATCTGGGATATCATGAAGAATGTTGTTCCTCTTGCTACAACACTGGCACAGAAAACAATTACAAATGTCACCGTGTAAGCGGCGAAAAGTAGAATTTTCTCTCCATTTTTCATCAACAAACTCTCTGCCTCCGACCCTGAGCCTCCGGTAATCTGATCTGGAACATCGTCCCGGAAGGAATCCCATTTTCTCACTGGAGGAAGAATAGGCTCATTGTCCCTGTAACTATTAGTATCCGTCTCTGAGGACGTATCCTCAGAGTCCGAGTACCCCATCCTGATCTCTCTGCTTTAATTCAAAGCCGGAGTAAGACTGCTTTATCTAACCAAGTATTTGAATGCCTGATAAATAGCTTCTTATCATTTATTACAAACAAGCCTATAAGGGCAAAGCATAATGAACGGCAATCATTTAAATTATAAGTTTTTTATTAGTAATTTTTGTGGTATTCTTTGAAACTTCATTCCTGCTTCCTTCTAGTCATTTCATTTCTTGAGAAATCCTACTGAGCTCCTTCTCTACTCATAAAATTTTCATCACATGACTCAGCTCAATCCTTAATTTGCACTTGCTCAACACTATTCGTCGTCAATGATATTTAAATAAACATTGAGAATGTAACTTTACAGACATTAATGCATCTGCAGCAAGTCATTCATTTCAACTTTCTTTGGCGGAGAAAACGAACATTTCTGATCAAAAAGTTGGTTCATGTTATTAAACTCTAGACTTATTGAGATTATGAGTTTACCCACTTAGGATAAGACTATATAGACGACCTAAGGAATTTATGCATATTTTCTCTGAAAGTCTTGATTCTCTACATTAACGTCGTTCTTTTTCGGTGAAATTATTAAATAAATGATAACATTACAGTCAACATTTTGGGAAGAAAAAAAGATTTTTCGATTTAAAAATGTTTTTTTTCTATCTTAAAAAAGGCTAGTTTGTTTAGAAGAAATAAGGGGTTAGGAAGATACGTTTTAAACCTTTAAGATCGTGTATTACGTGTTTCTACTTTATATAAGTTTATTCATGCATAGTTTATGGACTAACCCTGTCTAAATGTAAAAACTAGAAAATAATTTTTTTCCATGAACATGCAACTTTAATAATTGTGCACAAAAAATAATTATCAATAATTTTTAAAAATAAGTGTACTGCAGTTTCTGGGAGGAATATAAACAAAACCAAGGAAGTTGAAGAGAAAGGACTAAAGCTCGGATGTGATATTACAGTCAAACAAAAATAAGTAAATTTATCAAGAGCGAATACATATGATTTTTGGCTTTCCGGTCAATATAGAAAATACAATAGCAATATATTCTTATTCCACCCATCATGGGCCCTTTTCCCTTAAAAATGATGGGTTCCCCTTAATTCTTTGTTTTGATCTCCTCCCACTGCAGTACACAGATTTGACGCATCAGATATGCCGGTTCCTGCTCTATATATTTCTTGGTTTACATTCAACCCAGAAACTACAGTACACTTTTCAAGAAAACAAATACAGTTTAATCGTTGCACTTTATATTGTACAGTCGAAATCGTAAAGGATGAAATTCATATTTTTAGCAAATGATTCCTAAGAAGAAAAAGACGCTAGTGAGCAAGGGAAAGTTTTGTTTGGGTTGGTTTGTGGTCTGTCACTTGTACGGAGGGAGGGGGGGGGGACCTGGAGAAAATGTTGGTTGATTGACAACAGGGGTTTTGTGAAGCAAGATTTTGGAGTAAAATAAGATGTTTATAGTGTAAATCTATGAGATTTAATCTAATAAACGAAGCGCTCACTTTATTGATATTTTTTGTATATTCCCATTGAGAAACTGAGAGTCAGGATCGTGGTTGAATGGAGGGAGTCAACCAAACTCATTCTTACTCAATACTTGACAAACATAGAGAAGAAAGGAGACAAATCTTCATCAGACCAATTTGATCTCATTAAACTTTTCTTTCTCTAGATATAAATCTGACTGTGCTCGCTTGAACCTTGAAACCTTGCCAATACTTAAAGTTCTAAACCTGATATTTGAATTGAAATTAAACATTTTTAAAATAGTACATTCACAAGGGTTTCTAATCTTAAAAACTAAGCATGTGTACTGGTGTCTATGGAGTATTTTACCCTTTGTACTGGTATTTAGGGAGTATATTACCCTGTGTACTGGAATCTAGGGAGTATATTAACCTGTGTACTGGAAACTAGGAAGTATATTACCCTGTGTACTGGTATCTAGGGAGTATATTACCCTGTGTACTGGAATCTAGGGAGTATATTATCCTGTATACTGGAAACTGAGGGAGTATATTACCCCGTGTACTGGTATCTAGGGAGTATATTACCCTGTGTACTGGTATCTAGGGAGTATATTACCCTGTGTACTGGTATCTAGAGAGTATATTACCCTTTGTACTGGTATTTAGGGAGCATATTACCCTGTGTACTGGAATCTAGGGAGTATATTATCCTGTATACTGGAAACTGGGGAGTATATTACCCTGTGTACTGGTATCTAGGGAGTATATTATTCTGTGAACTGGTATCTAGGGAGTATATTACCCTGTGTACTGGTATCTAGGGAGTATATTATCCTGTGTACTGGTAACTAGAGAGTATATTACCCTGTGTACTGGAATCTAGGGAGTATATTATCCTGTGTACTGGAAACTAGGAAGTATGTTACCCTGTGTACTGGTATCTAGGGAAAATATTACCCTGTGTATACTGGTATCTAGGGAGTATATTACCCTGTGTACTGATATCTAGGTAGTATATTACCCTGTGTACTGGTATCTAGGGAGTATATTAAAGTGTGTACTGGTATCTAAAGAGTATATTACCCTGTGTACTGATATCTAGGTAGTATATTACCCTGTGTACTGGTATCTAGGGAGTATATTACCCTGTGTACTGGTATCTACGGAGTATTTTACCCTGTGTACTGGTAACTAGAGAGTATATTACCCTGTGTACTGGTATCTAGGGAATATATTACCCTGTGTACTGGTATCTAGGGAGTATATTACCCTGTGTACTGGTATCTAGGGAGTATATTATCCTGTGTAGTGGTATCTAGAGAGTATATTACCCTGTGTACTGGTATCTAGGAAGTATATTACCCTGTGTACTGGTATCTAGAGAGTATATTACCCTGTGTACTTGTATCTAGGGAGTATGTTACCCTGTGTACTGGTATCTAGGGAGTATATTACCCTGTGTGTACTGATGTCGGAAGAGATAAATATCACTATTTTAAACTAATTTGAAAATCTGACAAGAGTTCATACCTCCCTCCCTTACTCCCAGTGATGCAGTGTTCCACTGTCTGTTATAAGATATATTTAACCCAAACCTCATAGTTTCAATTCTAATCAACATATATATATATAATATTTCTACATACCTTACCTAACTAGTTAGTAGTTACCTATCTACCTTTTTATCAGTCTATCAATTTATCTATCTATCTATCTATATATATATATATCTATCGTTCTATCCATCTATCTATAAGAATATCTATCGGTCTATATATCTATCCTTCTATCTATATATCTAAGTTTTATTTAAGGTTTACTCTTGAAATATTTGTAAACTTGAATTGATTTAAATAATGGGAGAATAGAAGAATTTCTTATTTGTTTATTTATTCCCTAGAACCGGATAGAATTCAATTTTTTGAGATGAGAAGGGGGAAGAATGAATAGGGATGGGATGAGGATTGAAAGGGTTTGGGGACCCTTGAGAGGATATCAATCTCAACTAGTTTATCTAGTGACATGTTTGTTTATCAGACATCTGCGTGATATTACAGTCAAACAAAAACAAGTAAATTTAGAGGATATCAATCTCAACTAGTTTATCTAGTGACATGTTTGTTTATCAGACATCTGCAATATGTAAACAAGCCAGGACGCTTTTCCAACCGTTCTTATAGAAAACATATTCTCCACCTAGGGAAATTATTGAAGTACTGTTCTAATAGAAAACATATTCTCCACCTAGGGAAATTATTGAAGAACTGTTCTAATAGAAAACATATTCTCCACCTAGCAAAATTATTGAAGAACCGTTCTTATAGAAAACATATTCTCCACCTAGCGAAATTATTGAAGAACTGTTCTAAAAGAAAACATATTCTCCACCTAGCGAAATTATTGAAGAACCGTTCTTATAGAAAACATATTCTTCACCTACTGAAATTATTGAAGAACCGTTCTAATAGAAAACATATTCTCCGCCTAGCGAAATTATTGAAGAACTGTTCTAATAGAAAACATATTCTCCGCCTAGCGAAATTATTGAAGAACCGTTCTTATAGAAAACATATTCTTCACCTAGTGAAATTATTGAAGAACCGTTCTAATAGAAAACATATTCTCCACCTAGTGAAATTATTGAAGAACCGTTCTTATAGAAAACATATTCTCCACCTAGGGAAATTATTGAAGAACTGTTCTAATAGAAAACTTTTTTTGAAGGAAATCGGAAGATTTTGAAAGAGTATTTAGGTTAAAATACCCTCAGATTACAGCTTGTCTACAATCAATATAAAGAATAATATTTTGTTTTCAAATTTAACTTCCTATGAAGGGTAAAAAAGGATATTACTTCTCTGGTGGGTAATTTTTCACTCATTCGTCATTTTCTTTCCTTTCATGTAGACAGGAAGGGGTTAAACCAGGGAGCTCTGTCAAGGTTTCAAATAAAATTCAAGAAAATGATTTGCTTCTTTTAATCGATGAGAGTTTTAAAAACATGTGAGAATTTCTATTGTTTTATCACATCTCAGCAGTTAGGCAGTGGACAAATTTCAAATATATTCTTTTAAAAAAGCCATGTAAAGATGATATAATCTAAATTGATGTCATGTATATAATCAAATTTAGCGGAGCTGGGTTCATGAATCAAGGTTTAAGGAATCAGTTTCTTGATATTTGCTTTCAGTTCAGCGCTCTTATCTTGGTATTTTTATTACTTGTTTATTGATACTTGACGTTCTCAGTATAATTTAGCTTTATTGGATAAATCATTTTACAACTTATTACAGAGGAAGAAAATCTACCTGGAATAGGAGACATGGAACCTACCCTGGAAAGAAGACACACCCCTCCCCCCGAAGTAAGAAGACACAATCCAGGAGAGAAAACCTGAAACCTACCCAGGAGACAAGAACAAAAAAGAACCTACTCGGGGAGAGTAGGCCTGAAACCTACCCTGGAGAGAAGGCCTAAAACCTACCCGGGAAAAAAGACCTGAAACCTACCTAGGAGAGAAGGCCTGAAACCTAGTCGGGAGAGAAGACCTGAGACC